TGATTGTGTCTATAGGAGTGTGTGTATATATGTGTGTGATGTGTGACAGTGTGTGTGGGTATAGGTGTGTGTATAGGTGTGTGTATATATGTGTGTGTATATATATGTGTGTGTGAGTGTGTGTATATGTGTGTGTGTGACAGTGTGTGTGTATGTCTATAGGTGTGTATGATTGTGTGTGTGTATATATGTGTGTGTGACAGTGTGTGTGTAGGTGTGTGTGTATGATTGTGTGTGTGTGTATATATGCGTGTGAGTGTGTGTATATGTGTGTGTGACTGTGTGTGTGTATTTCTATAGGTGTGTATGATTGTGTGTGTGTGTATATATGTGTGTTTGTGTAGATATGTGTGTGTGTATGTGTGTGTGTATATGTGTGTGTGTGTATATATGTGTGAGTGTGTGTGTGAGTGTGTGTATGTGTGTGACTGTGTGTGTGTATGTCTATAGGTGTGTATGATTGTGTGTGTGTGTATATATGTGTGTGTGACAGTGTGTGTGTGTAGGTGTGTGTGTGTGAGTGTGTGTGTATATATGTGTGTGTGACAGTGTGTGTGTGTAGGTGTGTGTGTGTGAGTGTGTGTGTGTATATATGTGTGTGTGTGACAGTGTGTGTGTGTAGGTGTGTGTGTATGAGTGTGTGTGTGTGTATATATGTGTGTGTGACAGTGTGTGTGTAGGTGTGTGTGTATATATGTGTGTGTGTGTATATGTGTGTGAGTGTATGTGTGTATATACATACACACATACACACACACTCACACACGCGCGTGCACGCACGCACGCGCGCTCCATGAAGAGTGGCCGAGGGAGTGGGAGCGAGGCAGTGCGCGTGTGTCTGTCTGTGTGTATGTATATGCACGTGTGTGTGTGTATATGCGTGTGTGTGTGTTCATAGAAAGAACTGGGCTATGTAGCAGCCCTTCTTATGGTAGATCCAGTCTGTGATCACCTCGCTGACTCTATCTAACAGCCATTGCAAGAACACAAGGCTTGTGGTAGTGGTGGTAGTGGTCGTGGTGGTCTCTTCTTTGGGCTTCAAGAAATACAATTGCCCCCTTAAAAAAACCAAGCAAGGCAAGCCAGCCAGCCAGCAAACAACACACATCATCACCACCTTGTCCACCTAGCAGCAAGCAGTACGTGTGTAAGGTAAGAATACAATGTCAACGCAGCTCTTAACATAACTGCACACAGATATACTGTACACGTACACATTTACACACGACACTGTACACTAACACGAATAACACACGCACAGATACAGTACATTACTGTAATATACATACAGTGCATACACATGACTACCATGTACAAATAGACAGTATATACACGTACAGTACACACACACACGTGAGTTGTGATGGTACCGGTTCTCTATTTCACACGTGTCCGTGTACACGCGTGTGCTCTGTGTGTGTAACGTGGCAAAGCTACTAAAACAAACCCTCATTAAGGAAATGATGAATTGTGCTTTGGTGTTAGATGTCCCATCAATGTCCTTGTTGCTGTACTGGAGGAACACGGCAATTAAAGTTCGGTTATAGCAACGTAACGCGATTCTTATGAGCGTCTTGTTGTTGTTGACCACCCTCTAACGCAACCCTCTCATCCGCACTGTTGCGAATAACGTGGTGGTCATTGTAACACAGTACACGTGTGGTGAGTCTATGGTGTGTAGGGTTGTCATTGTAACACAGTACACGTGTGGTGAGTCTATGGTGTGTAGGGTTGTCATTGTAACACAGTACACGTGTGGTGTGTAGGGTTGTCATTGTAACATAGTACACGTGTGGTGAGTGTGGTGTGTAGGGTTGTCATTGTAACACAGTACACGTGTGGTGTGTAGGGTTGTCATTGTAACACAGTACACGTGTGGTGAGTCTGTGGTGTGTAGGGGTTGTCATTGTAACACAGTACACGTGTGGTGAGTCTGTGGTGTGTAGGGGGTCATTGTAACACAGTACATGTGTGGTGAGTCTGTGGTGTGTGTAGGGATTGTCATTGTAACACAGTACACGGGTGGTGTGTGTAGGGGGTCATTGTAACACAGTACACGTGTGGTGAGTCTGTGGTGTGTAGGGGATCATTGTAACACAGTACACGTGTGGTGAGTCTGTGGTGTGTGGGGTTGTCATTGTAACACAGTACACGTGTGGTGAGTCTGTGGTGTGTGTGGTTGTCATTGTAACACAGTACACGTGTAGTGAGTCTGTGGTGTGTAGGGTGGTCATTGTAACACAGTACACGTGTGGTGTGTAGGGGTTATCATTGTAACACAGTACACGTGTGGTGTGTAGGGGGTCAATGTAACACAGTACACGTGTGGTGAGTCTGTGGTGTGTAGGGTTGTCATTGTAACACAGTACACGTGTGGTGTGTCTGTGGTGTGTAGGGTGGTCATTGTAACACAGTACACGTGTGGTGAGTCTGTGGTGTGTAGGGTTGTCATTGTAACACAGTACACGTGTGGTGAGTCTGTGGTGTGTAGGGTTGTCATTGTAACACAGTACACGTGTGGTGTGTAGCGGTTGTCATTGTAACACAGTACACGTGTGGTGGGTCTATGGTGTGTGTGGTTGTCATTGTAACACAGTACACGTGTGGTGAGTCTGTGGTGTGTAGGGGGTCATTGTAACACAGTACACGTGTGGTGAGTCTGTGGTGTGTGGGGGTCATTGTAACACAGTACACGTGTGGTGAGTCTGTAGTGTGTGGGGTGGTCATTGTAACACAGTACACGTGTGGTGAGTCTGTGGTGTGTGTGGTTGTCACTGTAACACAGTACACGTGTGGTGAGTCTGTGGTGTGTGTGGTTGTCATTGTAACACAGTACACGTGTGGTGAGTCTGTGGTGTGTGGGGTGGTCATTGTAACACAGTACACGTGTGGTGAGTCTGTGGTGTGTGTGGTTGTCATTGTAACACAGTACACGTGTGGTGAGTCTGTGGTGTGTGTGGTTGTCATTGTAACACAGTACACGTGTGGTGTGTAGGTGTTGTCATTGTAACACAGTACACGTGTGGTGAGTCTGTGGTGTGTGGGGTTGTCATTATAACACAGTACACGTGTGGTGTGTAGGGTTGTCATTGTAACACAGTACACGTGTGGTGAGTCTATGGTGTGTAAGGTTGTCATTGTAACACAGTACACGTGTGGTGAGTCTATGGTGTGTAAGGTTGTCATTGTAGCACAGTACACGTGTGGTGAATCTATGGTGTGTGGGGTTCCACCATGGATGGATCAGCACTGTTTCCCCAGCTCCCTTGTCCACGTGAACCCCTCCACTGACCCCAGACCCACAATTTAATAGGTTGGATATCCCTTTTCGTTGCTAGATGGCTTTCATTGTACATGCTAGTAGTCGGTTACTGTACAGAACTTGCATTTAGCTGCTGAGCTAAATGTGTTAGGGGTCAGTGCTAGGGTGCAGCTGCAAATCTTAGACGTTGACATGCGTCAGGGTCAAGCGAAATATAGAGTAACGTGTGATCATTACTGGTGGAAAATATCACTCTTATTGGCAATTTTACCGTGGTTTCGATATTTAAAACGTTTCAAAATATCGTTTAAAGGGGTGGCCGTGCAGTCGAATGTGTCTGCGTGTTGTTACTATGTCATGTCATTGTGTGCTGTAACGGAGAGCGTGGCAAAAGCGTGAAGAAACCCGATGTGTTTGGGAGAAACCCAGTGTGAATAGGAGAACCCTGGGGTGAATAGGATAAATCGATAACCCTGGGGTGAATAGGAGAAATCGAGAGCCCTGGGTTGAATAGGATAAATCGATAACCCTAGGGTGAATAGGATAAATCGATAACCCTAGGGTGAATAGGATAAATCTAGAACCCGAGGGTGAATAGGATACATCGATAACCATATGGTGAATAGGATAAATCGATAACCCGAGGGTGAATATGATAAATCGAGAACCCAGGGGTGAATAGGATAAATCGAAAGCCCTGGGGTGAATAGGATAAATCGATAACACTATGGTGAATAGGATAAATCTAAAACCCCAGTGTGAATAGGGTAAATCGATAACCCTGGGGTGAATAGGATCAATCGATAACCCTAGGGTTAATAGGAGAAATCGATAACCCTGGGGTGAATAGGATAAATCGAGAACCCTGGGGTGAATAGGATAAATCTAAAACCCCAGTGTGAATAGGGTAAATCGATAACCCTGGGGTGAATAGGATCAATCGAGAGCCCTGGGGTGAATAGAATAAATCGATAACCCTAGGGTGAATAGGATAAATCTAGAACCCTGGGGTGAGTAGGATAAATCGATAACCCTAGGGTGAATAGGATAAATCTAGAACCCGAGGGTGAATAGGATAAATCGATAACCTTAGGGTGAATAGGATACATCGAGAACACTATGGTGAATAGGATAAATCTAGAACCCGAGGGTGAATAGAATAAATCGAGAACCCTGGGGTGAATAGGATAAATCGATAACCCTGGGGTGAATAGGATAAATCGATAACCCTGGGGTGAATAGGATAAATCGATAACCCTGGGGTGAATAGGATAAATCTAGAACCCTGGGGTGAATAGGATAAATCGAGAACCCTATGTTGAATAGGATAAATCGATAACCCTAGGGTGAATATGATACATCGAGAACACTATGGTGAATAGGATAAATCTAGAACCCCAGTGTGAATAGGATAAATCGATAACCCTGGGGTGAATAGGATCAATCGAGAGCCCTGGGGTGAATAGGATAAATCGATAACCCTGGGGTGAATAGGATAAATTGAGAACCCTGGGGTGAATAGGATAAACCGATAACCCTAGGGTGAATATGATAAATATATAACCCGAGGGTGAGTAGGATAAATCGATAACCCTAGGGTGAATAGACTAAATCGATAACACTATGGTGAATAGACTAAATCGATAACACAAAAACGAAGGGGATATTCCGGATGGGGGCCGCACAACGACACCCAAACGTACCCCCCCCCACGTCCCCAATTAAGCAGTCACTCCCCGAGCAAAGGTGGGCAAACGTTTAGCAACAACACGTGCCACGAACTTTAATGCGGTTATATCGAAAATAAGGACGCGATCACAATGGCACAATGTGTGTAACTCGTAACTCGCTCTGCGTTATAGCCGCGGCAACGTGAATTACAGAATTAAGCCCCAGACGGTGGTTCGGAGCACGCGTTCCCTTCACAATTTACTGCATCTTCCTCATTAGGCGACGATCGCTTTGCCACACAGTAGCAACGCAACTTTCCAGCGCACGGCGATAGTTAAATGTTACGAATTAATGTTTAAAGTTGTAAGAGAAATGACTAAAAGTCTGCGTCCGGACCCCGACCCGCGCGGGTCTTTTCATCGTTGCCTAGTTTTTATCCGGGAAGCCTAGGCTAGGCCCCCGGCGGGAATATCGTCCCCGTGTACACGGGGCGCGCCTCGCCCATCCCCCGCCCACAGTCCTTGGACCGGCCACCCTCCGTAGCTAACGATTAGATGGGGTGCTGCGAGTCCGTCTGCGTGAAGCTAACACCCTTTAGTAGAAGGGCAGAAAAGAAAAGCAATATTTGACCGCCGCGGACCTATACGCTCGGCCTAGTTTTCCTGCGGGAGGCCTGGGATAGGCCCCCGGCGGGAGCCTGGTCCGCGGGCCGGGGTCGTGGGTCGCCCATCCCCCGCGCCCCGTGTGTCGTTTAACGCGGCGTCTTCTGCATTGGCGTGAGTAACAAACATCGTTCTCTTCACACTGCTACATTCGCGTTAAACGCTTCAGTTTACTTCAAGTTGCCTCTAACTTTAGCTCAAAGTGAACGCGGTTTCGTGGTTAAACTCGTGCCTTTTTAAATTAAACAATTTGAAGTCTGGGCTGATGAAACTCACACTCCCAACTCCATAGGTGAAAGATCTGTTTAAATTAAAGCTAATTAACGTTTTCCAAAGACAGCTCCTTGACATTTGTGGTGTGCTTTGAGGAGTGTTAACCACGACTTTAACACAAATTTGCCCAGGCATCCTCAGTGTAAGCAACACTCTCCTTACAAGGAGTATTGAGACTCGTGGTTATATCAACGACATAGCGACGTTAAACTCGCGAAATGTTCCCTAGTTTGTTTATGTTGGCAATGTGTAATCGCAAATAAAATACAGCAATGTATGTACCGTAATAGTACGCCGACTGCCATTTCAAGCAATCGGTAAGAATTCGTGCTTAATTTAAAATGTAGGTCAAGCCTACAGAGGCATGGTGTGTTGTTTTGTGTGGGATGAGGCAGACTGTGTTTTTAACAAATAAATACATCAAACAAAGATTCAATAGCAATGGGCAGATGGTAATCCTGGCGAGGCTTGAGGTGCGTGCCATGGGTCCTGACGAAACCGCTTTGAATCTCATAAGGTTGACTATAAGAGGTCAACTTAAGACAAGATCACATCCATACAGTATTTCCTGTTTCAGCAGTTTAATGTCCTGGGAAGAGGTTGCTTTCCGTCAGAGGAATGTGGAATTTCCACTGCTGGTTAAGGGTTGTCGGTGGAAATTAGTGCTGTTTTGAGTGGTGAGATGGTTTGGTTGGATTCAGCAGGACCTCAATTTGCTAAATTCAGGTCAACAAAACGGGATCGATTGCTTTGAATGTTCACGGATACATTTTATATTCAGGACATGTCATGGTGAAATGTGGTCAAATAACCCCCAAGACCCACAACCGTGGATTTGCAAAAAGGCTGTACATGTACGATTCGTCGGTGAGTCTTAATCCGTTTAAGGGCTTCAGATGTTATAATCTTTGGTGTTTTAGGGAAAGTCACGTAGGTAAGGAAGCTTTTGTTGCCTCCGAAACGTCGTGATTTAATTGAGTTGTTTTCATTTATTTTATTGATTGTTTTACCTACGTGACTTTACCGAAAAAAAACAGTATGAATCCTCGCAGTCACGAAAGCTTCAAATCTAGAATTAGCTTCAGATGTTGTTGAACAAGTTCTATTCTTAGGTTTTTTTCGGTAAAGTCACGTAGGTAAAAAAATTTTAATTAATAAAAGTTAAATGAAAATAAAATAAAAATCGCGACGTTTCGGAAGCAACACAAGCCTCCGTCTTCAGGTGGAACCGTCACAGCACGATAGCTGTATCAAGTATTTTACTTTTATTAATTTTAATTTTTTACCTACGTGACTTTACCGAAAAAACCTAAGAATATGAATCCTTGCAGTCACGAAAGCTTCAAATCTAGAACAAGTTCTAGTTTAGTAGCTACAGCACAGTGTGTTAGTAAGGGAGGCATTGGAGAGTCGTGGTGACCGACCCACCAGACCACCTTCGAGTGGCTGGACAGGAGGGCTCCCACCACCTCCACCACGCTGACATATCTTAGTGTATAATGGCTTAATGTGATATTCTTAGGTTTTTCGGTAAAGTCACGTAGGTAAAAAATCTAAATCTACTTGATACAGCTGTCAGGCTGTGACGGTTCCACCTGAAGACGGAAGCTTGTGTTGCCTCCGAAACGTCGTGATTTTTATTTTATTTTACTTTTATTAATTTTGATTTTTTTACCTACGTGACTTTACCGAAAAACCTAAGAATATGAATCCTTGCAGTCACGAAAGCTTCAAATCTAGGCTTAATGTGATTTCAGGATGATCTGTCGTGTCGTGATGGTGTTCAGGCTGCGGCTGGGTTGCGTGTGGCTCATTCGATAGGGCAGTGGGGCTGGCTTCCAGTTGTGGGTTTGAGTTCATGTCCTGGCCAGGGTCAACTCGGCCCCATCATCATCATCATCATTCCTTTGAGGTTGGTAAAATATCTACTATCTGGTGAGTGGTTAAGGCTTCAAGGAGAGACTAGTCTGCCACAGGAAAAGAGTAAATACTGAACTCTGACCAGTGCTCATGTTTTTTTGAGCTGATGTTTCTGTCGCAGATGTGAAATTGCCCCACCCCGTATTGTACGACTGGAATTGGGCAAACATCCCAAGAAGGATTCTTCACATTTGTTGTTGTTATTTTGAACCGAGATATCTCCATGCACACAAGGGGCTTTGGTGGGGGGGCAGACCTGTTTAGAATCCAGCATATGGTGGCGATGTTACCATGAGGAGAGCAGTGACCAATTCGTGTCTCCTTCGGGAATGATGTCCCATTCATTGCTTGTTGCTGGGGAAACACGCTGGGTGAGGACAAGGCATCAGCCACATTCAGCTCATTCGCTTTCCTCGCAGCTGATGCTCCTCTGGGCTCACACCCGACGCATGTGTTCACACCCGACTCGGGGAATAAAAGTGTTGGCCCGTCAGCTTTGTCGATAAAAAAAACTGGGCCGGTTTAGATTTTATTTGTATCATCGGTAGAGTGTGTGGTCTATTGTAAATTTGTGTTTTTTTCCACGAGCTTCACGATTTTCTCACGTTTCGGTAAACTCGGAATTTATTTGGAATAAGATGGGTGGCATAAAATGCAGCAATTATCTGCAAATCCCGAGACGTCCGCCAAGTAACGATCAGAAATGTGAATAATCTAGCCTCTGTGGCCAACAGGATTTGCAGATAATAAGATGACAGATAATGAGTAATATCCTATCATCATCATCATTACTACGATCTCTGTGGCAATACGCGTTGCGTGTATGGTTGGTACATAATCTGTCACGAGTGAGTAGCTTGCGTACGCTAATTGTGCAAGCCAGCCAGACACACACACACAAAGCCGGAAAGGTGTGAACGAGAGACGTGCATGGGATGTGTGGTGAGGGCGGCTGGTGGTGGTGGAGGGGAGGGTGCTGTGTGTAGAGCTGTTGGGGGAAGCTGGAATCCAGTCTCGATGGACGGGGGAAGGGGGCAGAGAAGGCAGGGAAGGAAAGACATTTTAATCTGTTGTTTAAGGCGGAAACATGCGTGGAAGAGGCTTCATGTGAATTCATGGAGGTGTAGCGGTTTGGGCGCTGCGTTTCAAACCAGGTCACCTTAATTCGATACTCGCTCACGGCCAGCACCAGTGACGATTGTCTGAACCGGTCCCGGGCATCTCCTAGGTCGACTCGGTCTGAAATGAGTGCGGTGTGTAAACATCGCCACTAGGGAGACAAAGGTGGCGGTGGGTGATGTTCGTCACCCAGCCCTCGTGTGTCGTGTCGGTCTTCATAGGTGCTCGCTAACAGCGCTTGCCCCAAAAGGCTGCACGGGGGGGGGGCGATCTTGGTCTTTCTATTTGTGTGTTTGGAGCTATGGCGCAGCAATTCATGCAGCACCGTTCTATAAACGAGTTGGGTTGCTTGTGACGGCTACCATCAGTGATGAGTGATATTTGATCCAGTCCTAGACTCACCTTTCACAAGCCCACACTGACCATTGTGGTGAAGTATCGTCAACAACTTCCACGATTGCCACGGAGACCACGTCGGCCCATGGGGGGGTTTTGCGGTGCTACTTTGTTGACGAATCCCATTTTAAAATTTTATGTCTATCAGTTGGCAAGCGCGAACCGAAACAGACATGAGCCTGTTCGATTCCCGCTCACGGCCACCGTCCGTGACCAAATATCGAAACCCGTCCTGAGACTACTCCAGGTTGACTCGGCATGAAATAGCTACCTTTGTGCGCTGCGTGAAAATCTTATTGGTCATGGCCACGGCACTCCCCTGGTCTGGCCTTGCCTGTCACAGGAAGGGTTAACGATGGCACGCGTGTCGCGTGGTCTATGCGGCTATATGGGGGAGGATTTCTGTCGTGTTGTTGACGCGTGCGAGCGAGCGAGCACTGGTGCAATGTCTCCTGTTGGGTTCTTGGCCATGATGCACAACGCCAATGTGTGTAACCTTGCTGTCCGCCATCTCTATGTCATCACTGCTGGATAGTCGTTCCCGCTGCGGTGGTGCATGCGCATCAGCACTCGGGGAGACAAAGGTGTGCTGGTTCCATTAGCTCGCTCAAGCCACTGCTGTGCAGCCCTGTCTCCGTACACTTATTTGACCATACCTCACCGTGCGCAACAGGTGGTATAGGCTGCCGAGCTATGTTATAGGCAGCCGAGGGCAGTGCGGCAAAATCCATCGGTGTCCCTTGCTGTGCTTCCACGTCAACAGTGGCCTTCGCAGGGAATCGCGAAAAGCTGCTGTCAAAACAGCCGTCCTGCTGAACCACTGCCGTGTGTGCGTGTGTGTCAATGGTGACGGTGGTGGTGAGTTTCGATTTAAAGCTTTCGTGACTGCAGGGATTCACCTTCTTGGTTCTTTCGGTAAAGTCACGTAGAATGGAAATAATAAAATAATAAAAATAAAACGTAATAAAATAATTCTCACGACGTTTCGGCCACAACGTAAGCAGCCGTCCTCAGGTGAAGACCAGGTCTGTCTCCCCGACAGACCTGGTCTTCACCTGAGAAATACAATTCTCACGACAGCGTCTTTCCGACAGACCTGTTCTTCACCTGAGGACGGCTGCTTGCGTTGTGGCCGAAACGTCGTGAGAATTATTTTATTATGTTTTATTTTTATTATTTTATTATTTACATTTTACGTGACTTTACCGAAAGAACCAAGAAGGTGGTGGTGAGGTTGATGCGGTTTGTAGACAGCTGTACGATCTCGATGGCACAGGTTTAATTCATCCTCGCTGCACATCTCATGGTTGGCCTGCACGTTCGTTTCGACCAGGGCTGTGCCTCCTAAACTCACTCAAGCCAGAAGTGCCTGTTTCGGTGGTGGTGGCCAATGACATCCGCTTTGG